TCCATTGCTGAGCAAGTGATGTAATGCTACATTTCTCCAAATCTGTTCCCATGAAGAAGCAAACTCATCTACATCTTGAATGGCCTGAGGGTGAGCACATTTTTAACAATTTTTTTGTTTTTGGGTCGTTAGTGAAATGTTATTGAAAATGACTATAGGTGTTGCTAGATAGGCTACCATATCACATTATTTGTCTAAGCAAGATGTTAGAGTGGAGCAAAGAGTGTCAGTAGCATTTAAGATACGTATAAGGATTATTCAATGCAATTTGATGAAATGACATTAAAATTACATCGAAATTCATTAAATTGCGTAAATCTTTTTATTATTAAATTATTTATGAAATTTACTAGGAATTTCTGACTGAAAATTGTTTCTACAGCAGTGTAGGCGTCTAAAGGTCGTGCTCCTTGCTGCAGGCTGTTTCAAAGTTCACTTTCCTCTCTGCCTGAATTTATTTCTTAGCTGTCCGTTCGTCAAACAGCCAGACACTTTACACAGAAACAGCCTGACCGCTGCGTTCTCCTCTCGGCCAAAGTAGCCAAACCTGCAGAAAAGGGTATCATTTCTATCTTCATTGATGCTTTTTGTCTGGCCACAGAGTTTGTCTAAAAAGCTCACCTCAGAACTCTCTGCTCAGCGACAGGCCAGTCGATGTCCACGTCGATATCAACGCTGTACTCAGGCAGCATTTCATAGTAGGCGATCTTGCCCAACTAAAACACACAGAGAACAGATCAAAATATCTCACGAGGTTTCACACACGGGTCATTCTTTATGTCAAAAATGTTTTGAATTTAGTTCAGGTAATTTTCCTCCAATAAAAGCTAATGGCACATTCTTAAAAATAAAGTTCTTTATTGGCATTGATAGTTCCAGGAAGAAACTTTAACATCAATGGAATCTTTCCATTCCATAAACAGTTCTTCATAGTGGAAAAAGTTCTCTAGACTTTTAAAATGGTTCTTTTAGGAACTTTTCACTGAAAGGTTTTTTTAGGGACCAAAAATGGTTCTTCTACGTCAGTGATCCACAAATCTGGCTCGCGGGATCCACTTTCCTGCAGAGTTTAGCTCCAACCCTAATCAAACAACTACTGGAGGGCCAATGCGCTGCAGAGTTTAGCTCCAACCCTGATCAAACTCACCTACCTGTGATTTTCTAATGATCCAGAAGACATTGATTAGCAAACTCAGGTGTGTTTGATTAGGGTTAGAGCTAAACTCTGCAGGAAAGTGGATCTCGCGAGCCAGATTTGAGGATCACTGTTCTACGCCATCACTGCAAAAGCTGCAAACCTTTATTTTTAAGAGTTTATTTATTCATATCTTGACATTTGATTTTTGTTCTGTATTCTAATTTGTTTCACATATTACGAAATTATCATAACATCAGTGATTGTTAAATATTTTTCTAAGATGGAGTCAAAATCATCTCAAAATAATTAAATTTCTTTTTTATTTTTAGTACTGTTCAAACTAAAAAAAATTTTTTTTTCAAAGAAAATCTTTCACAAAAACATGTTAACATTGTAAACATCACATAAATGTGAACACTGAAAAAAAAAATAATCTTTTCGTGCTGCCTCTGAACTTTTACCTTGGTAGTATTTTTTAAACATGTTAACATTGTAAACATCACATAAACGTGAACACTGAAAAAAAAAAATATATTTTCGTGCTGCCTCTGAACTTTTACCTTGGTAGTATTTTTTTTATTTTCAAAATTTCTGAAATGTTTTTCCACAACTTTTTGTATTTTCAATGTTTTTAAATTTGATAATATCACTGAAAAAAATCAAGGGACAAGCATTCTTTTAAAATTGTTTATATTATCTATTATATATTTTTATTATATTTATTTATATAAAAATAAACCCCTTTTGCTTAAC